TTGACCTCAGAAGAAAAAGCCTCTGTCAGAAATCAACACTGCAAAAACAGTGTTCAGTGCTCTTTAATTGAATGAGTATTTAGAACTAATATTTAAAGCAGTAACAAAACCAAAATGGAATGAATGGCATAGTTTGGCAGAAACGATTCCTTTAGTTGCAAAGATGTAGACATCCTTGTGCACACCATAAATGCCCCCCTTTTTTGTGTTTGAAGATTATTGAAAAAAAAATCCCAATGCTCATTCAGAATTATAATAGGATGAATGCTTTTAGCTGTAGTGTCCTTATTGGTAGTGAAGTATTGATATATTTTTTACTAATTTAATACTAGAAATCAGTTTTCCTCTTGCTGTCAGGCGATGAATTTTGTTCTTCTATGCTGATCTTTCTGTTGATGTATTATGACATAGTCTGTCAACATGAACAGATATGTGAAAGGGAGATTGGGTGACTGAGACATGCAACCTGAATATGGCTCCTCTTGATTTTTAAGGGTATTATCATGTTTTGGTACAGTCAGTATAAATGTAGATTTTTTTTTTTTCCCCCCTCTAAATAAAGCTATTATTTTGATGTAATTTAAGCAAAAGCAAAACAGGTGGACTATGACAAGGTTCTAAAAGCAGAATGAATGAGGTAACTCCAAAACATATGCATGAAAGCTGAAAAAGCTTTCACGTCTAAGTTAATAGCCCTTTAAAACCAGCATTTGCAAAGCACAAAAGTTTTTGTGTAAGAAGAACCAATTCAGGCTTATCTGATTATTAAATATTGCTATCGTTTTTTAAAAAATTAAATAATTCCCCAAGCTTTACATGGTTTTGTTGTCACAGATGTTTTTATTGTTTGGTGTTAGATATCTGGATTACATCAAGTAGGTGATTACTATGTCAGCTAAAAAGGTCAAGTTCCATACTTTTTATTTCAAACCATCATAAAGAAACCTTTCTATAATGACACACATGTCTCTACTGTAAACCTCTCCATACTCACTTAAAAAAAAAGCTCCTATCTGACACATGGCTTAACAAAATAGAATTCCATATTTTGGTAGTGAATACACTGTCAATATCAGGGAAATACACATATACTGAAATATTTTTTTTCCATAGAAAATTTCTGATTAAAATATTGTTTTTAATCACTAAGCATGCAATTTATAGCACTAAAAGTTGTTATTATGAGAATGGTGTACTATACCATTCATACCATTCAAACTTTCATACACAATTTTTTTCAGGTTGCTGTTCTTTAGTTTTGATATGTGCCATCATTCCCTTTTAAAATTTCAGGAATATATAAGAGTCTTGCTTAATACTTAACTCTAAAGAAATCCTCCTTTCAAATAAATCATGCATTTTGATTTGGGATACAGTGAAAAAAATCTTTAAAGATATATACATCAACTAATTTGTTAATCCTGTGCCACTTTTAGCATTTGTCACACATATAGACCAGGAAATTGGCTCCATCTCATTCTAGCTCTGTGTTGAATTAAAAACCTCTACTGCAAAGAAGAGCATGATGTGAGGAAAGAATAAATTTAGTTCTTTCTTTAGTAATGCACATATATTTCCATACATTTCACATCCTAAGGGAGCCTGTGAATGCATTCAATAAATACAAAACTGTAAATCCAGGAAAAAGGAATTTTTATATTATAAATTTCACAGAGGACTTTAGTCTTAAAAGATCTAAAATTATAAATGTCACTGTGTTTTTATTCTTTTATCAAATACAGGATATAGAAAAAAATGAAGGCATTACATTTTAGGGTCATTGGAATTTCTGAGAATATTAGATGTTTTAGAACAAAAAAATATATTCAACTATGGCACTTGAAAATTAAAAAAATATTAGCTAAGAAAATATTAGCCATGTCCTGCCAAACTAATTCTACCTTACATACCCTAAAATCAAAATCATATATGTAAGCGTTTATATGGAACGATTGCCTACCTTCACCTTATATATTAAGGTCAGCAAAAAGAGCAGTTTATGGATAAAGGGCAATAATAAAGAGCTAGCCTTTAAACATGATTAGTTGGTGTCTATTAAAGATGTGTTAAAATGAAATATATACTGCAGATGAAGGAAATTACTAACTCCTACTAGGAGGACAGACTTGCTATATGTGTATTTCACTATACCTTTAAAATATTTGTGAATTTGACTGCATTCTGAAGAGACAGAGCAATGTGGGAGATTTATGAGGGCCTGATGGAAACAGGTCTAGGAAAGATTATGGCATACTTGTTTAGAAAAACTGAGAACTGAAGGTTCCTGATTTACACTGACATATATCTAGATGAAACTATAGTTTGCAAATTGCCTAGAGGAGTTATCTTTTATTAAGTGTTTGATGGGTACAAAAATGTACATATCTATTCTAAAACATTCTAGGAATACTGATGCTATATGCAAATACAATTTCAACATTTTAAACATTTCTTAAATATTTTCATTCATGACTATCCAGTCACCTCACCCTGTCCTGTTCTGACAGCTTGTGCCTGCTGACCAAGCACCACGGTTAGGGAAGTTCTGTTGCATTATTTGGAGTTCTAGGGACAGTGGTGTGCTGAAACTATGTGTTGTAGTATGAGAGCACTAGGAGAGATCAAACTGCAGCTGAGCACTTTTTACCTTTTTCAACATATTGGACACAGCCTCTGTCTTCACAATTAGAAAAGAGAAGGAGGTTGTTATAATTCCTGACTTTCAATATTTTACAAAAATATTTTACATAAGTTTACATAAGCATTTACAAAAGTTTTCAACTTTGTGCTACATAGTGATGTCAGTATATTTTACATTTACATTTATTTTATTTCATTACATATTATCATTACATTTATTTTGAAATTAAGCAAGGATAAGGCATGCAGTTTTACCAAGATTTCTTGTACAGAAAGCCTGAAACACTGCTTAGGTCAACTTCTGTTTGTTTTGTTCCCATCGACCCAAGGTGGATGACTTGTCTAAGGTGGGTTGCAGTCTGGCTTTGCATTATTATTTTCCGTACATTTCCTCTTTCTTTAGGAGCTGTTACTTTTTAATCTTATTTTAAATCATTATTATTATAGTGAAAATCTGTATTAGTCAGTGCAATTCTTCTTTCATAATTCACATTTTATTAATGCAATTAAAATTGGTATTTACTGATGCTTCAGGAACAAAATTATGAATTTAAGATCAATTTAACAATGGATGATGTTATGCATTCTAGTTCTGTCAGCATATTTTCAAGCAAGGTGAATGCATTATAGAAATATTAGGTGATATTTTACATAATTATCTACCTATTAGGTGGAAAATTTTGTCAGGCTCATAGGTACACTGGTTACCAATTATATATAGATTTTTTTTTCTTTTCTTTCACACACAGATGTGGAAAAAGAATTAAATTATCAGCATTTTTAAAGGTTTCACTGGCCTCTAAAAATAATATAATAAAGACTATTTGCTAACATGAGATTTTGTTTGGCAATATTTGTTTGGAAAACAAAGTTTATGATCAGACAATTACATTTTCATTGTGGATATATGTTCAGTGCATTGATAACTTTACAAAAGTATTTCTGTATTACCATATAGTACAAAGATTTCTACATCTGTGATTAGCAATGTGCACCGAACCATTTTTGTCAGTAGCTAGCATACTTTCCTTAAATCATTAACTCATCAGATCAGGACAAAGCTGCCTGGATCTTTCTGGATGTTTGGAAAGTGCCTAGCATAATATAATGTGTACTAGAATATAAGGAAATAATTGGCACTTGTTAGTTATAAGCAGCACTTGTTAGCATAGGCTTTCTAGCATGCCAACAAGCAATTAACCTCAGCATCAGTCAATCACCTTTTCCTAGTTAACTCACATTACACTTTGAGGACAGCTGCCATCTTCTTGTGGAAAAATACATGTAACTATGCCCCTAACTGTCATGTGAGTTTTAGACCAGTGTAACTTTATTCTATTCAAAAGATTTAGAGCTTTCTAAATAGGAGGGTAATCAAGAAAACTATTTTTCTTCCACAATTGTAAATTAGGGGTAAGTGCACTTAATTCATTGGGACTGCCTCTATGTAAAACTGTGGTAGTGAAATCAGAATCAATCTTTTCTTTCCATACCTAAGAAGTGAACGTGTAGCACTGTACGTAAGTCAATCAAAGTAATGATATTGGTTAGCAATGTAAATGCAAAAGAGTGGATTGCTGATGCCAAGAAATTTGCACCCATGTATTGCACCTGTCAGGGAAAGGGAGGCCATGTTGAAACTGCAGTGTGGTGTGGAATTAATGCCCCAATTAGAGACTTCTTAATCTGTTAGATATGCCTGAGTTAAGACAATATGGAATGGTTGTTTATCAGCTCATCATTACTAGGGGTGGCAAGAGTAGTCATTTTTTCTGTTTTAAATTGTTTCCAAAAGATCTGGTAAATACTTTTTTTTTTTTTTTTAATAGGAATAGATGACAAGAGAGTTTATATTTATATTTATATTTATATTTATATTTATATTTATATTTATATTTATATTTATATTTATATTTATATTTATATTTATATTTATATTTATGCGTGTTATTTATATTATATTTATTTATGTGTGTTATTTGTGTAAATCAGATAGGTTGACAGCAGGTTAATATAACTGTTTTTTGTTTTGTTTTGTTTTGTTTTTCAATTTTGCTACATGTAAGAGTGGTATTAATGGAAGAAAGGTATGGATGTCCTGAACTGTGATTTAAAGGAGATAATTTTATTCCAGTAGCAGGAAGCAACTTCCATAAATGACAACTTTTTTTTCTTTTCAAAACTCCAATGAAATACAGAATTGACACTTGTATGAAGTATTATTTTAAGAAACAGGGACTGGGACACTTCTCCCTTGACTATTGAAATGACATATAAATATCATTTCTTTTATTTTTTTTCTGTGAGTTTTGTGACTTGTGCCTTCGTGTGTGACTGCAATGTGCATTTTTTGTTGACAGATGTGAATAAGGTATAGAGTCCTAAATAAAAATGTGCCTGATCCAAATAGGAAGGAATATGCAGGATAATCTAGGAAAAAAAAAAAAGTGGATTCACTGCATTCCTGGTCAGTTCCATGTGGGAATAAACAGATCAACGCGGAATATTTTTACAGGTAAGTGTGTGATGGAAACAAAAAAGGAGAGATCTGAGGCCTGTAGGGCATTTTCACTCTGCTCTGAAGGGTTTTTACATGTTCAATTCTGAATAAATAAATCTTTCAATTAAGAATGGGAATCTTCTCAGATCAGGTAAGAAGGCCACAGAAAAGCATTTTTATTTTTTGCTTCATAGAAGTTTAGTTACTATTGCTTGATATTCTCCATCATTCATGGTCAGAAATTCTGTTGGGAATGTTTTAGAAATGAATTCTTTATTTTTATTTATTTATTTATTTATTTATTTATTTATTTTCTGTTCTGTTCAAATAATCATTGTAGAAATCATCCTGAGGAACATTCTGGTCTCAAATCACTTTACACTGGATTAAGTTAACCTGTAAAGTTCTTATTGCCAGTCGGGTATTACCTTAGTGATGTTAATTAATTTTCAGATATAAATATATTTATTTGTGTGACAGTAATATTAAAACAAAATATAACAATATACTTAAGTTGGTCTTTGATAATACTTCTTCTGCACCTGTGCTAGCTAGAATTTACAATTTTTATATTGCTTTGTGCTTCTGGACACTTTTCTTATTACTAGAATATACATGCTAGGAACTGGTCATGAGTTAGAATTGTTAAGGACAGAAAATGTACTCAAGATATCATATCAAGAATATGATGCACTATGTCACGCCAACATAGAAATAAAAGCAGATACTGTACTTACTGCAGAATCATGATGCATATTTTTTTTTTTTTTTTTATGTTACATAAACTTCATGGTGCATCTGCAGTAGAATAAGAATATGAAACTCATTGGTTGTTGCATATAGCTATAATATACCCATAGACAGCAAAATGTTTTAGGCTATATTTCTTTAAATATTAAGCAGTTTTAACAGCTCTTGAAGGGAAGCTGGATTATTTTGATGAAAATGTTGTTCAGTTCTGGCTAATCTGTGTAAGAACATTGTGAAGAAAATTTAGAGAAAGTAGAAGCATGTGAAGCAGAAGGCTGTGTCCTTGCTGGTGAACATGAGGAGGGAAAATATTATGCTCATATATAAAACATATTTCCTGGTAGTACTTCTGATGAAATCATCATTATGGAACAGACTTATGATGATTGTTAGTTATTTATAATGCAAACTCATACTGTGTTGTAAGCATGGCAGGTTTGTTAATTTTTTTTTCTAGACTAACTGATGTTTTTTTTTTTTTTTTTTTTTTTTTTTTTTTTAAGATGGCAGATATACAGAGATAATAGGATATCTCTTTCTTTGTTCTGCCTCAATAACAGTTCAATTGCCTTTTTGCCTAGGGAGCTAGAGTATCGTCTTGGTCGTTTGACTTGTATCTTCAGCATGTCCATGCAGCGCAGCACATTTTTGCTTCTTGGTTATTAAGACAGGCCATAAAAATCAATTTTAAATAGTGACTTAAGAAGTGCATCCTCGTAAATAAAGAAGAATTTGTAGCCTTAGTCATCTTTGACGATTAAAATATATGGTTGCATAACATAAAATGATATTAAATATTCACTCTAAGTGCTTTATTCTGATATTTCTGTACTTATACAAGTTTTCTTTTCCTAGGTACCTCTTTAATGCTGAAATGGCCATGCTAATTGTGAACTATGCGGTAAGAAGGTCCTTCTAAAATATTCAGTAACTTATTTACTGGAATTTAAGAGGCCATGTACTTCAAAGATTCTTTGCCTGTAATCACATGCACAAACACTGAAAATATTGCCAGCTCAAGATTCAGCACAGTAGCAGCAGTGCTGAAGAAGTCCCCACCATTAGGCAAGGTACAGAATTGGGCTGGTGACCTGTGATGGGTCAAGAGAACTCACTCACCAGGATTTGCTCACGGTTATGCTTCTGGCAACTGACATTTCCATTTTACTCAAAGCTTCTATCTCTGTGTCATTAGACAAAGCCCCATGAGTGGTGGCAGAGCAAACTGTAGTCTTCATTCTCAAATTTGAAGTGGAAAAATTATTTACATGACTACACTGCAGAACCTGTTGTTCAAAAGATCATTACCTGTTACCCATTGTTTTAAACCATTAAGTTTTCCAAAAGCTCTATAAAGAAAAAGGACATTAATTTAGAATGGTCTTGTTTTGTTTTATTTTTTGTTTCTTATTGAATGATCTGATTTCTGTCCTACCAGAGGAATGTCAAAGATGGGACGTTTCTATCATTGCTTACAGTGAAGAATTGCTTAAAGGGACTGTCAGAGATTGTAAAATACACGTAAATCTCTGACTTTCCTTGAGAATTTTATAATCTAAAGAACTACTTTTAATTGGTTACAATTTCAGAGTTTATTTTGTAAGAAAAATACTGATTCACACAAAGACTACTCCTTTACTCTTTTATCAGACTTTCAACTGAGCCTTTTTTTTTTGTTTTTATTTGTTTGTTTGTTTTATGTTATAGTTATGAATTCAGACAAATGTTTAATTGTTTAATGTTGCTCTGTTCCACCCCACCCCCCCAATTCCAATTTTTGATATGTTTTCCTGAATGAGAGCTTGAATTTAGTGACAATTAGTTTAGTTCCCAGAGATTTATTTTCATCAGGAATAATGCTCTGTACCAAGATGTGTGAATGAAGATGTTAAGGGGAAGCACAAATAACATTTTTTTTTTCCATTCAGAGAAGAAGCAGTAAGAAGTCAAGGCTATTCAACAGAAACAAATTAATGCAGCCTGGAAAAGTCTTTATTTTCTAAACAGTAAGAGAATTTCAGAAACAGTAAGGATACAAAAAAAAAAAAAAAAGCATACAAATAAAAAAAATAAATGACTTAATTTTCTTAAAAATATTTGGAACTGAAAAAAGAACTTCAAAAAACCCCACCGACATTTCATAACAAATAAAATTTTGCAGGGGAAAAGAGTTGCTTGACATGACGTTGAGGGCAAACTGAAGGACTTGTCCCAGGGGCTGTTCATGCTGCTATTGCAAAAGTGTGTAGGGCACACAATAATCTTAGTTGCCCTATTAGTAAATACAATTTGATAATGCCTGTTTCTGTCTAGTGTTCTGTGGTCTTATATGTTTCATAATACAGTCGAAAAGTTTGTCACAGTGTACTTAGAAGTTGCCTGTTATACTTAAAGTTTTTGAGATAAAAGATGATTTGGACTTCACATCTTGAAAGAACATGTTCCTTAAGGTGGTGATGGCAGCTTTAAGTTTCTTTGGGGTGTTTTTTTTTTTTTTTTTCTTTTGTTTTGTTTTGTTTTGTTTTGTTTGTTTGCTTGTTTTTAACTGTTTAATAGGCCAATATATTCTCTCATATCATACCAATATATATGTCTCTTAAGACTGACAGGAGGATTGCTGTGAATAAAAAAGCCTCCTTCAGGAGATCCCGTGATCAGCAGAACTTTGTCAGCTTCTCAAAAACATACTTAGCATTAGTATGGCACATATTTATATTTCAGCTTCTAAACTTTCAGGCATATCTATGTTCAGAAAACATCTCAAGAGTGTTTGTTAAATTATCATTTAACATTTAACCATCACTGGAAGACCCTTTACCTTTAAAGTAATTCTGATTGAGTCAAGTAATATGTAAATGACATGGCTTTTCCCCATAAATAAGCAGGCTGATGTTTTTGAGTGCAGCATGAAAAATAATTTTTGTTGGTATTGATAAATATTGATAAATATCACAGCCTTAAAGAGATTACCCAGAAAAGGTAAATTGAGATAAATTAGGTGTATCTTATTTCCAAGTGTCTGTCAGAAGTGTGCTTCTGAAGTGATTCTCCTGACTGTCCCCACATACTGTACTCCTTTCAACATTGCGTTAATGTTGTCTCATTATGCAGGAATTGGCTTCCTTTTGGACAAAACTAAACTGAGATGTACTCTCTGGGAGCTCACACAAGCACACCATTTTCAAACAGTAAAAAATTTTCTCTACAGAAAATATTAGAAGTACTGATGATGGCTACTCTCAAAATATGCATGGAGTAGTGTGCCTGAGATTTCTTCTCTTGCATATCCTAAGCCATGCCCTAGGCTTGCCCCAAGTGTTTTTTCATGTTTTTACAATGCAGCCCTGAAATATCTTCTGGCCTCAAACACAGGTCCTGAGTTTACGAGGTTATAGACATTAACATTTTTTTCATCGATGTTTGAAACTTTCAGCATTCAGGCTAGGAAAAACAACTAATCAAAAACAGACTTGAAATGGTTTATCAGAACATCAGAATTAGGAATACAGTATTTTACTTTCTAGATTATCAATGAAGTAACAAAGATGTCCTTTACCTGCTGCTTTGCCAGTAGTAGGCACCAGCTCACAACTGAAGTGCAGGTGTGTGAAACGTCTGTCATAGCACCAACACATGTTTGCCAGACGCCACCAAATGTGGCCCTACACAACAATAAGAAATTGTACTTATTAGATGAGACAAAGGGATGTTTTAGGATTGTTGGTAAGGTAAAAATTAAAATAGAAAATAACCCATGGGAATAAACTTTCATGTATTATCTGTTTTTAATTAAATCCAGAGTGGTTCAGATTTTTAGGAGGATCTCTTGGGCTCATGCTTTAATTGTGAAAATGGCTAATTTCTGTATAGTTTAATTACGTTACTATTTCAAGTTACTATAACTGTAGTACTTACATAAGTTCAGGAAGCAGAATTTCATTCCATCTGGTGATTACTTATTTACTTACATTAATCATACAGTCAGAAAACACAGAATTAAAAAAAAAAAAAAAAAGTAACTACTGAAAACTTGATTGAACATACTAGAGAAATTAATGTGACTAAATGTGTCCATATGGAGTCTCAAAATTTTAACACACTTCAAAAAATTAATGTAGGAAACAAACAGGGAGCTACAAATACTGTGATTTCCCCAAGAAACCTAATTTTTTTTTCCATTTGCTACTAATTGAACTGGTTTATATATCAAGAATAGATATATATAAAGCTGCTTTTGGAGTTATTTACATTCAATTATTTTTCAATTCTTGTACTGTGTATACTTACTGAGATTGAAACTGTTTACTTTCACTCCACTGTGAATCTCTAAGACAAGTTAAATACTTAAGAGGACCTATTATGTTAACTTAGGGATTAAAAAAAATAAGTGTTTCCACTTGGCCATATGAGGTCCTGCAGCAAAATATTTTCAGGCATATTCATGGTGCATGACTCACCTGATGAAGAAGTATGTTAAACCTTTTAGAGGTTGGTCACTTTCCAGGTCATGAGTCTACCCTTCTCATGTCTTTAAAACTCACAAATATGACCTACAGATCATTACCCTCTAATAGATAGTTACTCAGGAGTCAACAAGCTGACCTCTATACAGTGTAACATGACCATCCTGTCTTCTGTCCTAGACAAGGAAGCCATTTTGTGTTTCTAATAATTTTGTTGGGCACTAATATACTGAAACTCAGAGTGATTTCTACTGGCACAAAGTATCAGATTACATCACAAACAGTGTTTTTGCTGTATGGTGTATGGTTACAGAAATTTAGACTACACAAGCAACAGGTTGCAATGCTATGCTTTTAAAACTCCAGTGGTATGTGAGTGTGCACATGTGCACACCAGATCACTAGTTATTGCAGCAAAGGCAGTCACTGCTTCTGCTATATATTTTCTCAACTGATAGTTTTTTTTTTTTTTTTTTTTTTTTTTTTGAGGTTGTCATATGGTATAACACTTTTACTAGTTGACTCCTCCTACTTTTCTTCAAACCACATCCTGATTTTTGGCCTCAGAAACCAAACATATGCACAGCTTGCAGAACAACACATGATATTGTTTCTGTATAACATCATACCAGCTGGGATATAAATTCTTACAGACAATTTTATGCGAATGAAAAATACCTACATTAAGACATTTTCCATAGCTATGCAATACATACCACAGTAGAGCATATGGTCTAGAGTCAGAGATCCTCACATATAACAAAAGCCCCAAGTCAGGCCTCAGATCTTCAGACAATGTAATTTTTAATATATCGTTCTATATTTTTTTTCTGTTCCTTACTTTTTGTATTGTGTTTTGAATTTCTGGAATCTAACATCAGCTAGTTTGCTGCAAGGTTGAAGACTCTAACATTTTATCTATTTGATTTCTATTTGATTTATCTGGTATTGAGCCCAATAAAGTTATTATTTAACTAAAAACAGCAAGGATTTGGTGAAATTCTGACATGTATCATGATTTGAAGATATACCAATAGCAAGAATTGATCATTTTGGGGCAATTTATTTCAACATTTATTTTTGCTGTTAGAAAACTGTTCTATATCTGATATGTCAGTCTTCAGCTTCCAGACCCTTTTTTTTTCCAAATTTTTCATGGGTGGGGTGGTTGCTGCATTATTCTCCCTTCAGGATAAAGAAGCTTTGCATAGAATGTCTCTCATCTATAAACTTTAAACTCCCAGTCTTTTTTTTTTTTTTTTTTTTTTTCTTTCAATAATCAGATTGAGTTTATACATTCACAGAAAAGAATTTTCTTCTGCTCTCAAATTATGCAACCTATTATTATTATTTTTTTTTTCTCTTCTACTATTCCCATTAAAATATGGACAGCAGATCTATGGGAAATATTCCAACAATTGCATCAGGATTTAAGGATTATATTAGCTCTGTTCATGCAGCTTCACAGTGGGAGCTCATGTTGAGTTGCTGGTCGACTATGGCCCATAAATCGTTGCAGAGTGGAGGAATTCTGAGGCACCGTACCCCAGTTTTTGGGGGTGAAATTCCTTTCTAATGATGCATAACTTTACATTTGTCTCCTCTAAAATGCTTTTTTTTTTAAAAAAAAATATTTATTTATTTTTAAGGGGTTTACCTTGTCAAGGGATCTCTTCTTCCTGGATCTTATCATCATGTAACACTTAACTAACTTTTCTGTCATACTCAGATCCTTAGAATGCTAATTTTGGTATGAACCTTCATAACACAGCTGGGAATACTGAATAGCATTGGGCCTAGTGCTGATTCTTAATAGATACCCTTAGAAACAAGCCAGTAACAGTTTTCTTTATATCTTCTGATGGCCTATGGAACAAATTTTAATCAATTGAAATTGTGAACATTGATGTTATATATGTATTTTTTTTCGTTAATAAAAATATCATATAACAAATTTTCATTGTACTTTTATCAATTAAACAAATGGAAGATGCTGATCCCTAAAACAGGTGAAAAAAAATTGTTTGACCACTTAGAAAACATGAAAATATTAATTCTCCAGGAATTAATATTCTTTAATTCGCTCTGCACATGTAACTTCATTTCACTTTTGCAAAACAGCTCATATAAAAATAATACAGTTCATCTTCAGAACTGGAGGGATTCTGATTTGTCTGACATATTCATCTTAACGTGTGGTTTTTTGAATTTACTGAAATTGCCTTTAAGAAGCTTACAAAACTGGTGCTAGATGCTGGTGCATGCACTTTCTTCAGTTATTTTAAACGTTTTGCTAACAGTTTATTTGTCAGATGGGTAAGGTATACTTCATAATTTGCCACCAAATATAAAACTCATAAAATTGGAAAAACTAATTCTTAACCTGTGCTTTGGCATACATACCTTGTATTCATTTCTGTCAGTAAAAGATATCACTGAATCTGTTATGCTGACAGATAAATGTACATCCACAGTCCTCTCAAAGCTTTACTAATATCTTGGCTTCCCCTCTCCTATCTTCCCAAACTCCTCACCATCATCCTGGTATCCGAGGGAGTTGAGTAATTCAAGTTGTGTTTGAAAGGTGTCTGTGTTTTTGAAAGCAAAGGGAAGGAAAGTGATAAGCTTTGAAGGGAGGAGGCTCATGTAAAATGTCTCTCTCTCTCTTTTTTTTTTTTAATCCTTCTCACTTCCAAAATAGCGTTCTGGTGAAGTTTGTTAATAAGAAGTTTCTAACCAGTTTATTCTTATTTTAAACAAATCTAAACTTTTTGAATTTATTGGACTTCTCTATTTTTGTATAGGCTGAATATCAGAGCACAATAATAATTACAAGTCATTCTCTTTATCCTCTTTGTGCACTGCCAATCTGCAAAGGTGTCTCATTTCACACATCATTTGCAATGTCCTATGGTAATACCACATATTTTGGGGAATAGCTCTTGAATCATTAATCTCCATTTTGGGATGTGTAGTTCCAGATTCTGGACCCAGTTCAGTAATTACTCTGTGTGCTGAAGTCAATGGGCTAGCAAGACTTTGTTAGTTCCTGAGAAAAAGAGAGTACAGGTAACTTCATGCTAAACCACAGTACTGTAGGATTTCCTAGCCCTACAGCCAGAATGCACTGGCCACAGCCCAAAACAGACAAGCAAGTTACCCTGTTTGTCTGCAATGACGCATAGGTCACTGTAACAGGTTGGAATTTTGGGTTTGGGGGATATTGTGGATGGTCTTTCCACATGGTGGAGTGAAAGCAAGTTATTCTGACTGTCCTATTCCAGGCAAGACAGAACAAAGGAGCACTGTTAGTTCCTACTGACGCAAAGCAGCCACAAGTCAACAGAGAGCCAGATCCAACTTCGACACAGAGACAGCTTGTGAAATTGAAAAACAGGAACAAAACAAAAAGTACTATATGTGTCTGTGAAACCTTATCAACTCTGGCAGAGATATTTATTGCTCACTGATGACTGAGAATCTCGTCTTGCCCAGGGACTAGTTGCGAGTTAGTAATGGAGTAAAAATGTGGGGTGATCAGAGAATGACAGTCTATCACTGATTGCTCTGATGTCACGCTTTGGGAACAGCAGCCAGAAATGTGCAACTCATTCTGCCTTTAGAATCAAAGGCACCTAATTACAATCTCATTTTGTTAAAATACAGCACTAATGACTTGCTTGTGCAGTAGCTGGATACCATATCAACTGCCATAAGCTAAGTTTTTCCATTTTAACAATCCTGGTTACAGTATCTGACTGCCTGTACATAAACATTTGCCAGTTGTTGCTGTGTGTCATTGTGGAGGAGATGCAGCAGTTTCCTCTAGGCTGTAAAATCAAGAGGAGTCACTGGCAGATAAACTTTGTGCTAAGGTGTCCTACCTCACTTTAGAACTGTTTTGACTGATTCATAAATACTGGTCTTTTGAAAATAAAACTATGTTTGCTCAGGTCAGCTTATTCTGTGGCACATCAACAGAGGTTAAACCCTGTTCCCTTTTGTCCTCCTCCCAGTTATTATTAGTGTATGTATGTATTTATTTATTTATTTTTCCTGGTACTCAGCTGTTTTACTTTAGAATTCCTTCATAACTGTGTTGCTTCTGCATGTTTGGTACAAGTTAGACATCATCTTCCAAAACTATATATATATATATATATATATATGCTTATTTTCAGAAATCTCACTACTTACAAAGTCTTAGCTTAGGTTACTTCTGTTATCTTCCAAGCATCCTGCTGACAGCAACTGTGTTGTTAAATATCAAGGGTACCTTGCTTTGCTTCCTACATATGGCTTTCCTTCAACAAATCCCAAATTAAACTTGCACATGGGTGACATGCATTGACATCTGATGATATTCCATGAAATTCTCTTCAGAAAATTTTAATCTGTTAATTATAGCAAAGTCTATACTATTACATATTTATCTGAAAAGAGCTCTCTGAAAGTACAGAAATGTGGTTAGCTTTCTAAGTAACTGTGTTTTGGCACACGTCAGGGACAGACTTTATACTAAATCACATTTTTCACATGACATTAGATGGCTCCAGAGTTTGATATGTTTGGTTTTCCTCTACATGTCTGATGCAATCTATTACATGTGTAACTCTATTTCTGAGTACGTTCTTTCTCCAAATGTGAATTGCAATAATTCTTTCACTATGGCTGGTGCTGTGACAGTGCCTATCGTTCTAAATCTATATAACTGGCATTTTCTCCAAGTGCTTAGCACTTGTCTCCTCAGAGCTCTGCCAGTTGTTTTCAATTGCCTTTCATATGAAGGTGTGTTACTATAAGCTGTTGTGTCAAAAATCAGATAGGATCTTAAATAAACCAATGTATGTATCAAGCTATTCATATTCAAGCGGTATTCAGAGTCCATCAAGAGGAGAACAAGGTGTGTAATTATTATTATTTATAAGAAGCATGGAGGGCAGCCAGAAGAGTTAAGCAGGAACCCTTCCAAGTATATATCCTGAAGAACCAGAAGGGGCAGTAATAAAACTAAACTTCTTCCTGTAAAGAGAAAGATTGTTGGAAGGATGAACTCATTAGCTAGGTGCTGATGGCATTCTCTACTTCATTCTTATTACTTCCGGGCCATGACTCTGTTTTAACTACATTCCAGATCAGAACACTACCTGGGAACATTAGTTAGCTAAAAAAGAAACCAGTAAAACAGTTATGGTCCCAATGTCAATATGAAAATCAGGACCATGATCTTTTAACTGCTCCAGTAAAAAGTTACGTCACTTGTAATTTCTGCTTCTTGGAGGTGCCAAGAAGAGCTCTCCACAAGTCCATGATCAGTTCTGCTGGATTACAAAATCAGGAAAATTCTCTGATGAGTGTAATTTCCATATGTTGTCTGGGGAGTGATATAGTCAAGTCAGTCCATGCTGCTACAGTCTCTGCTAAATTCTGATCTGGGTACAGGCTTATTTGTACCACTTGGCACCAGTTCTTAAGTTGTTTTCCAGTTGTGTGTAATCAGTGTGCTGCATATTAGTAATGTCTCCTCCTTCCCTAACCCTCAGCATCATGGACTGTAGGGAGAATAAGGTAGCAGTTGGATATGCCAACTCCATAGTTGAGTCTGCTGGTGACTGGCTAGTGGAGAGATTCTCTAGGCTCTGTCCTAGGGACCAGTAAACTGAACAAGGACAAGCTGTAGCAGACGGTCTGTTTTATTCCTCCCAACATTACAAATTAAAACAAGAATATGAAGAACCCATATGACTTCATCCTTCAGACCACAAGTGAAGCTGAGTCAGCAAGTGGTGAAGAAAACTACATGTACTTATAGTGAACGAGTAATTATTTCTTTTTCATGACATGTTTGTAGCTAATCAACTCAAATAGCTGCCTATCTAATAAATACAAGCTGCATACAAGGCTGCCAAAAAAGTGCATTTGAATGGTATGTTTGGCAGTGCTGAGCAACTCTCAAAGCATATTAGATGCTTACTGTTTGAGTCAATAGGCTAAGATCTGAGTAAGATTAAACAATATATTTTGATTTTTTTTTCCTTTCATAGTATATGCTGCTTTTATTCAAACTCAAGTTTAGTTCCACTGATTTCAGTAAAGGTAGTGGTGGAACCCAACAGAACCCAAAGCTAGCACTTAACTATTTATTTTCATGTGTTTGAATTACGTTACTAAGCTTTTATTTGTCTCTTCCTTCTTTCTTTCTTCATATATATATAATCTATCTATCTATCTATCTATCTATCTATCTATCTATCTATCTATCTATCTATCTATCTATCTATCTATTTTTTTTCTCCTCAGGAGTAATTAAACATTCAGGATTTTCTCATGAAACAAAACTGAACAGAACTAAAAAATTATCTTTAACTTTCTTTAACAGAGAAAAGACATTCCCTCACAAATTTTAGGGATACCAGATGGATTCCATCTGAATACCTTTCAGACTGCAATTCACAAGAATGTATGTATACATTGAAGTTACACTCTAAGTACAACCTCTGAAGTTTTTTTTTTTGTTAACTGTATAACTGTGTGTCCATTTGATATACTTCACTGAAGTGTCAGACTTCAATATCAATATATATTTCTTACATAATTTAAGAAGAAGAAAAAAATGTA